TTTTAAAGTCTGCATCCATTTGCACTCAATTTCCATATCACTCCTGCCAACAATGGATACCATCACTCACCGTGGTTGCCAGTTGGATAAGTAAAAAATTCTCATTGTAATTTCATGTATTCATTATTAATGAAGTTACTCATGTTTCCATATGCTTCAAAGTCATCTGCATTTGAGTTTTTCCAAAAATTAGTTATTCCTGTCCTTTCCTATTTTACTATTGGCTGTTGATCTTTTTCTGTGGATTTGTAAGAACTCTTACATATCAAAAATATTAACCTTTCATCTAGAATAAAAATTATAGATATTTCCCCTAACTTTCTGTCTTTGGTTTTTTGTTTGTTTGTTTGTTTTAAAGATTTATTTATTTTATTTTAAGAGAGAGAGCACAAGCAGGAGGGGCAGAGGGAGAGGGCGAGAGAATCTCAAGCAGACTCCATGCTGAGCGAAGAGCCTGATGCGGGATGACGACCTGAGCTGAAACCAAGAGTGACATGCTTAACGGACTGCATCACCCATGCACCCCTAACTTTTTGTCTTTGAATTTGTTTTATCATATCCGTTACCAAACCAAAGCTGTTTGATTTTTTCTCAATTAAATATGCTTATCTTTTCTTTTATAGCCTCTGGGTTTCATGTTACAGCCTAGCCCCAAGATCATAGATCTGTTCTCCCATATGTTTTTGAGTAATTTTATGTGTAATTTCAACACTTAAATCTTTAATCACGTGGAAATACTTTTATGTTTGGAAGAGGTGAGGATCTGACCAATGATCCCAGTATGATGCTCTTTTGTTATGAGTAGGTACTTTGGATCAATTCTCTCAACCTCCATTTTATCAGGCTTCTACTTGGCAAAATTGGAAAGCAAGAGAAAACATTTTCTAGACTACCCTGAAGCTGAGGTTCTGGGAGTAAATTATCTTCCATCATTTAGATGCACTTGTAAGAGATTTTGGAAGGCAGGAGTGAGCCATCTTCCCATGTCTCTTGAATGTTGCCAAGCTGGCAAGGAACTCAGGAAACATGAAGCTTCCTTGCATGGTACTCCAGTGTCCATCCTCCAGCTTCCTGGGAATCAAGAAGCAGTGGTGATAGGGACAGCTTCTTAATGTGACTTCTGGTTCCCCAACCACAGTTTTGGACACCACGGTCCAGTTTCCTGAATGTGAGAAGCAGTTGCTTCTTGTTTCTCAAATGGTTGCTTGTTTCTGGCATGGCTTCAGCGACAAAGTCTAAGTTAGCTCCAAAGGCTCTCTGTTGAATCAGCTCAATTTATGCTGAGTCATCCCAGGACATCCAACCTAGAATATGTGCCTGTAGGGCTTCCAGTGGTGTTTTAAACATCTGAAGTACCCAGAGCAACTTCTGTTTCCTGCACTCATACCTGACTGATACACTCTTCGGTTTAAATCATATTTATCATATACAGTTTTATAGATGTTTTAATAGTTTAATAGTTTAATAGTTTTAAATAGATGAATCTATTTCTAGAATTTCAATTCCATTCCATTGATCAATTTGTCTTTCAGTGATGCCATATTGTTTTAATTAATAAATTCACCACGTTTATTTTTTTTTCAAAGCCAATTCAGTGATTTTGGAATATCTATTCTTCCAATTAAAGACGAGAATTAACTTCCAAGTTCCTCAAATTACTCATTGGAATTTTGACTGAGTGGGATTATTCTTATTGGTTAATTTGGGGATAACTGTCATCATTATAATATTGACTCTTTTTTAAAATTTTTATTTATTTACTTGCAAGAGAGTGAATGAGAGGGAGAGAGAAAGGGAGAGAGAAGCTGAAGCAGATTCTGCACTGAGCACAGAGCCCAACGCGGGGCTTGATCGTACAGCCGTGAGATCATGACCTGAGCCCAAACCAAGAGTCAGATGCTTAACTGCTCCAATATCGACTCTTTTAAACCAGAAATGTGTTCAATCTCTTCAATTATATGTCTCCTTTTATGCCATTATTCAGTATTTAATAGTTTTCTTTACACAGATCAGCTTGCACTTTTTTGCTCGATGTAGTATGGATTATTTACCAGTTTTTTATTATGAATCACACACTTTTCCCAATTGTATCTTAAATATATTTAAATATAATATGTTAAAATATAATAACAAGAGCTGGCATTTATTAAGCATTCTTCAGGCACGAGAAATGTTTTTTATGTTATGCTTTACATATTATTCAGACACAAATGAAAATCTGTAGGTCACCAACTACCCACCCAACCATAGCTTAAACAAATCGGGATTTGTTTCTCACACATTTGAGAAGTTCAGAGACGCGGTAAGAGGTTGCTGACATTGGCCCTTTTCCCCCCTGCCAGACGGGGGCCACAGTTCCAGCATTACCTCCATTTTTAAGGCAGGAGGAAAGGAAAGCAGGAGACATCTGTGACTTCGTCCACCTCTCTGGCCAGAACTGTGTCAAACAGCCGCCCCAGCTCCAAGGAAGTCTCTGAAAGTGTGTGGCGTTTGCAAAAACCCCAAAGAACAGGGAGGCTGGAAGGATAAGCCTGGGATTAGGTGTTGAGGGAGTCAAACTACAGTGACTCCCCGGAATCTCTGAGGGCAGCAAGATCAGCACCCCAAGTTCACACTTGAGGAAGCAGGAGCACCAGGAGTTTGGGTGAAGAGCCGTGGTCACGCAGCAGCTGGTGGTGAGCACAAGCTTGCAGCCACTCCGTGATACCTGCTTCCCATAGGCAGGAAAGACATCATTTTTAAATGCTGACATTTTGTCTAGCTACACTGCTGAATTCTCATGTTTTCCTGCCTACTTTAGGCAAACGAATGTATTGGGTCATATCTTCCCTGTCATAATGATAATTCTTTTTTTTCCTTCCTCATTTCTCAGTTTTGATGTCAAAAATAATGGGTATTCTTGTTTGTTTTCCAATTAAATATGAAGGCTTTATTGTGTTGCTGTTAAGTAAATGATTAAATTTGTCCTGGAAAAGAATGCTCTTCAAATAGTTAATGGTAAAAACAAGTAACAAGTAACTCCCCTTTTTTTTAAGATTTTATTTTATTTATCTATTTGAGAAAGAGAGAGAGCACAGAGGGAGAGGGAGAAGCAGGCTCCCTGCTGAGAAGAGAGTCCAATGCGGGACTTGATCCCAGGACCCTGGGATCATGACCTGAGCCGAAGGCAGATGCTTCACTGACTGAGCCACCCAGGCGCCCCTGCATTTTACATATTCTACAGATTCTAGAAGAAAGAAAAAAGCGGGCTGTCTGGGATTTCTAGAAATTGGAGCCCGAGTCAAAACTCGTGTGCTGAGGCTTTCTTGGGAGGGACAATTCCAGAACTGCGAGATGAGGGGAAGGGAAAGGCAGGTAGAGAGGTTGGGAACGTCTAGGAGGTAGTGTGTTACCAGGCTGACTACAGCTCCTCAAGCAAACGGAACCCTGCTCAGTGACAGGGAGCACCATGCAGCTAAGCACAGCGATTTGCCCAGCTCCCACCTCAACCTGCTCAGAGTCCACCTTGCGGTGCACCATCTGCCCTGCATTTGGAAGTCCGTGTTACCCCCTGCCCATAGGCAGCCTTGGGGAAGGGCAGGCCCTCCACCTTCTGTGCCAGTCTGAGTTTCTCAGTGATGGAGGCATTGGGGCGTCTGACCCATCTGCTGGGTCTGACCTGGTGCAGGGAGGAACCGGGGATGAGGCCACCCACACAGGAAAGCACTTGAGATGGCTGGTGGGGTGGGAGAGGGGAAGGTGCCTTGGACAGGACCTTTCCCCACCCCTGGCAAGCAGGGTGTGGGGGACCCGGCGTAGCTGAGGCCCTGGCAATTTGGGAGGAGCGCACACTGGGACTTGGGCTGGCTGCTTTCATCAGGGAAGAGGTTACCTTCTTGTACGTTAGGAAGAAGGTCCTGTGTGGCATGGTCAGGGGCAGCTCGAGCCTTGTGTGGGAACCACCGCACAGATGACTGCAAGCAAAGGGGTCAATGCCTGGATGCCAAAGACATGTGGACCTCAGCTGGGGTTGCCCCCGTCAAGCTCTGTTCCCGCCTCGCAGTCCAGCTGGGCTGTCCCCACATGGTGTGAACCACACAGGGGGACACCGCCTGGGAGGCACTGAGCTGCCCTGCTCACTTCCAGCGTGGGCAGCTGGGGTCTGACTCCTGGTCCCAACACCCCTCACCTCTTGATGGGATGGCATGAGGGTGCAATGCCGTGAATGTGCACAGGCAGGTCCAAGTGCCCTGGAGGTACCTGTGACCACAGCCCCGCGTGGAACAGACATGCGCATGCGGTGCACAGAAAGCCTGCTGCTGAATCCTCGGCGCATACAGCTTTGCTCCTGCCCTAGGTGTTTGAGCCTCTTTCAGGAGTTTTCAGCCCTGGGCAAGTAAACCAACTTTGCACACCAAGATTTCCTCCTCACATGTCTCGATGAGCTCAGGAAGCTCTGGGGAGGCACACATCTCAGGCGTCCCCTCCCTGGGGAGCATTGCTCACCGTTCAGGAGTCACACAGTTTCTTCCCCTCGAGCAAAGCAGGAACATCTGGGGACCTGGGCGGGGGGAGTGGGGGGAGCAGAGGCACACAGCTCAAAATCCCAGGACGTGTGACCTCTGTTGCCACCTTGTCGTTGGAGGTGACCGTGCTCACCTGGCCTCACTCTGTGTCTCTGCCACCTTCCCGTCTGCTGGCAATGGCTTGGGGAGGCCTGTCTTCTCCGGGACCACCATGTATTCCTCCATGTCCCCACCTTTCCGTGCTTTGCTACCTCAGCTCTTCCCGCCTGTATGAATAACCAGTTTCCAGTTTCCTGTCTCTGGGCTCATCCTGCTTACCACTCCCAGCTTGCTCCTTCTGGCGCATGGCTCTGAGCAAAATGTCCATTGAACAGGGCAGAACCCAGGGCCATCAAGTGGTGGCGTCCAGGCCCTCAACCACTTTCCCACAGTGACGCTTTGTGTGTGTGACATTTTGCTTAGAAACATGTTTGAAACAGGGTGTCGACTTTGTAGGCCACATCCCCAAAGCGAGCTGTGTTCATGCCTGTTTGCGTCTTTCGCCGGCCTCTGGGGCATGGCCCGGCCGGCCCTCCCACCTGTTCTCTGGCCACAGAATCTTGCATACCCCTGGCTTGGCAGCTCCTCGGGCCCCCTGGATCACTGACCTCCCAACTTCGTGTCTTGGCAGCAGGTCCTTCCATTGGGCTCTCCACCAGTGTCTTCTCTGTGCAATGCCCACCCATCTTTAAAGTTCTGGTAAGTTCCACCTCTTTCAGGAAGAATTCCCATCTCCCTCCAGTGGAGCCTGCATCTGGTGGCACACGGTCTGGCACTCTGCGTGACAGTTCCACGTCGTGATCGCATGGGGCACGGCTTAGTCCTTGGTCCGTGGTCAGTAAATGCACATCAGGGGACGGAGTGAAGGAATGAACTCATGGTCCAGGGCAGAAACGGGGCCTCGATCAACCTTTCTGGGAATGTTTCAGTACCTGATGCTCCAAAACCGGAACAATCAGTGAACTCTGGTCCCCAGTGCCATCTGGTGTGCTCTCTCATAGATGGACGCTCTCACTGGTTCAATTGCACTGAATGAAGGACCAACTCTGTAATGCAATTCATTGTCCACATCTCTTAATAGGGACACACACTCCTGCACACGCACAGCAACGCACACGTACACCCGCTTTTCTGGTGAATGATATGGTTTCCCTGATGCGGGTTGATTTTGTGTTGGGTTAATAACAATACCTAAAGCGTGTCACCATCCCAGGTCAGCTACTTTCCGAAGCAGTTAGTAGATCCTAGCTCATTTTCACCTTGGAACAACTTGTTGACGTTGACATTGTTATTATCAACAGTCGCCGGAAGGGGAAACCAAGAGAGAGAGAAGTTAGGGAAGGTAACTTGCCCTGTCCACACAGCTCGTGGGCAGCGAGGCTGGGATGTGGACCCACCACTGTCTGCTCCTCCCCGCTAGGCTCTCTGCCCATCTGCTGGGTGACGACGCCCTGAGGGCCTGCTCTGCCGTCATCCAGACAGCATACCCACACAGCAACCCTATACAGACGTGTGCGCCCTGCTCGGGAAGATCGTCACGTGCAGGAGCTGCACAAAAGTCTGAAGCACTTCTGCTCGGTTGCTCAGAGTCTATTAAACTGGAAGTTTCTCAGAAGACCAGGAATGTGGTCAAGCACCCAATTTCCGGGCTTCTAAGGGCCTTTACCAAACTGATAGCATTCATCTGAATCTCTTGCTGAAACAAACCACACCTACAGAAGACGCTTTTTGTCTCTAAGTCCATCCGTGTGCATTTCACGGTGTAATTTCCTCTTGTGCATGTTGCAATTAGGCAAGTGAAGGTTTCGGGGTGACCCAGCATGAACCAGGATCTGCTTCTTTGTAGATGCTACATGTGCAGCTTTCCCTTTTCTGCATTGTGCGCTCGCGGCTCGTTCTCGAGAATCACCCTACTGCAAGGCTGGAAGGGATGTTGCGGAGTCTGGTTCAATTCCATCAGCTCTTGGAGGAAGAAACAAGGGTCAGAGAGATGAAATGACTCCCTTCGTGTGTCTGGTGTCAGGAATGCTTGAGAACCCTGTCCTCCTGAGTTATAGCCCTGGCTCTTTCCAGTGGATACCCTGGGCATGACTTCACAGAAGTGTTTAGATAAGGTTTGCCTCTGTGACTGGAGCTGCATTGCAGGGTGGATGTGTCACCTCTGATTCTTAGTAAGATGTTTTTTTGTTAGAACACATTTCACAATTTTATATTTCACACTCTTGTGACCCTGCCGGGTCCCGTCGCCAGCCAACTGCTGCCACAGCGCTTACCCCATCACTGGGGATTTTGCAATGAATGCAATTAGCAGCTTCCCAAGTCTTGACCATTTTTGGTGTATTCCCCTGCTCCTCACCTGCCTTTTCTGTGAGTTTCCTTTATTTTGACACCTTTACTCACATATGCCATTTAATATGAAAGCACACAAATGCTGACGGAAATGTGTGCCGTCTGCATGGCCAAGTTTAAAGACACATTTCAGTTTTTGTAATGCTGTACTTGCAACATCTTCTCTTTTGCAAAACCACCTCTTTCTGGTCTTTTCCTGGGTCTTTTGGAAATGCTTTGAAATGTATTCAGGCCATCAGATGCTTTTGTCTGGGGAAATCATGTAGTCGGTGTAGAGATCTAATTTCTTTCTTAGCTTAAGCAAGAGGCATTTAATATGAAACATTTCAACTTCTCTACTTTAAAGCCTGTGCTTCTATGGGGAGTTTATTTGACCATCTTCTATTACCCAATTTCCCACAGAAACTAGTTTTTGAATAATAAGGCTGAGCATGCTAATGGAACTCCTGTGGATGGAACCATGTGGCAGAGGTTGGGGAAGGCAGAGTGGAAATTCTAAACCCTCACAATGTCTGGGTTGTGGCTGGGCTAGGCAGGGGGCAAGGAGGAGCGGTGGAAACTTGGTAGAGGAGGGAATCCAGAGGAGTAGTGAGGATTTGATGACTGGGGAAAGGCCAAAGGAAAAACTAAGAATGAATCGAATAAGGGAGGCCTGGGTGGCTCAGTTGGTTAAGTGTCCCACTCTTGATTGGCTCAGGTCATGATCTCAGGGTCGTGGGATCAAGCCCCGAGATGGGCTCTACACTCAGCATGGAGCCTGCTTAAGATTCTCTCCCTCTCCTTCTCCCTCTCTGTCCCCCTCCCTGCCACCTCCCCCACATTTCCCCCACCCCTCCTACAAGCTCAAAAAAAAAAAAAAAAACCAAAAAGGAAGAAGAAAAAGAATACATCGAATAAATCAGGAGAAGAAAGCACAAAAGAAGAATAAAGGTCAACACAAGTAGAAGGTGGAAAGAGAAGGCCCAGGGAAGGACAGGAGCAAGCCTAATGACTGGAAATGACATAAAGTGTACAAATAAAACAAAGAGCAAGCATGAAAGAAAGAAATACCCATTCCAGGAAGTTTCTGCCTAAACATTCAATGACTCATTAGGTCAAAGCAAAATACCAGCATAAATTGCATACTGATGGGTGTGGGCAGGCCTCCTGTGGGTGAGAAGCCACGGCAATCGCTCCCACACTAGCTCACTGTTTAAAGCCTACCTTGAAAAACGAAACAAAACTACAACCTCTGAATTCCTAGAAATTGTTTCACCTCATGCTCGTGAAGTTTACAGGATGGACACCGGACCCTGCGTTGGCACAGTGCAGTGGGAAGACTGCGGTCCTGGCCTCAAGAGCCCTGAGCCTGGCTCTGGGGCCCTAGCGGTGGCCAAAGGCTTTCTAAGCGTGGATGGTTTCCTACAAATAAATCCAGAAGCCACGACCTAGAACTGGTAAGGTGGAGCTGTCCAAGCTGGGTCAGGCTGGGAGCCTGCCTTCCACCCTGCGATGGCTCCCCCCACCCTGGGGCATCTCTGTAGAATTCTCCGTCAGGGGGCACAGCCTGCCCAGCATCCAGCTCACCAAGCTGCGGGGTCTCTTCTTTTTTAACCAATTGTTTGCCAACACAGAAAAATCAGGATATCTTACAAAAAAAGAATTTTTATTTTATTTTTTTTGATGTCTACTCTCTTTTGAGAAACTGGAGCCTGGGGCCGCTGGAACTCTGTCCCATGCTGCAACAACCCATGAGGGCGAAGCAGGGTGTGCGGCTCTCCGGCGGCCACAATCCAACGCAGCTAACCTGAGTTCTCGCTATGAATCCAAGATTGTAGCTACCTCTGCCTGATGAGGCCCCGAGGAAAGACCGCTGGAGACAGATGGCCTCTCGGGAATCTTCTAGCTTGAAATGTTCTGCAGTTGTAAGGCACTCCCCAACTCAGGAAGGAGAGGCCACACTTGTAGTCATTCTGCTCTCTCCATATTTGCTTAACCAGAAAGTATATTGGGAGTGTAATCAGATGTAGCCAATGGGATCGACTGTCTTCTGCCCGTAGTCCCAATCAGAGTCCATGCCTCCTCTTCCCTGGCATCCTCCACCCCATGCACTGACAGGGGCTGAGAGTAAGGAAGTTTTGACTTCATACTTCAACCAGAACCCCCTTCCCCCTCCTCTCAGAGACCTGGTCACAGCCCTGCTCTACCGTCAGGCACATGCTGACGTCTTCCTAGAAGCCTCCCCACCCTGAGTAATTTGTTTCCAAATGTCTCAGGTTTTATGCTCCATTGAACTTGTGTTAATCTGCAAGTGCTTGCCTATTCTGTGAATGTTCTAGCATATACTATCAGACACACCGCCTCTTGGGTGATGGGGACAGAGCCTTCATTGTATTGCTCAGTGGTTTCCCAATCACCAGGAGGAGCTAAAGAGTTACTTTCTAAGCTGGTATCACAGACATCTCTTGTACTTCATCTGATTTCTAAGTAGGATGGCAACAAAAAATGATGCACAGATATGATACAGGCACAATCTAGAACCCCCCCCTCCAACTAATGAAAGGAGCATCAGGTTTCAAAATTCAGCATAAAGAACCAGTTTCCAAGTTCAGAGAACCGCCCCCTCCCCACACACACACCACCACTATCATTGTCTGGGGTGACTCTAAGCATGTTACCTACTTTTCTTCAATTTCAAGTTGTCCTTCTATAAAACCATTCACTACTCATTCTACAACAGCTTTGGAATTCTATAAAATAATTCGAAAAGCAGAACCATGTGGAGAACATGTAGGTGTGGGGTAGGGGAGTTCTGTGGCTCTGGATTTCTAGGAATTAGCTGCATTTCTAACCCTGAAAAGGTAACTGACTTACGGACATCATTTTAATTTCATCTAAGGGAGGTTTTCAAACTATAATGGGCACTGTGAGAGTTTGGAAAAAGAAAACATAGTAGTAAAAAATGAGGTAAGTGTAAATTATAAACCAAAATCAAGACTTATTTTCATCAACAGAGTCAACTCCTTGGAATAAATATCTAGTAGAAGGGACAGACTCAAAAGCCATAGACAGATGTGCTTCTTGAATTGCTGAGAGCCTGGGACAGTGGATTTGGGGAAGATATTAAAACCCATATTGCATGCCTAAATTGTCAGGGCCTTGTTGGTAAACCTACACTTTACCAGATGAATTGTGTTCTGAACCACAGCACTGTCCTTGAAGAACACTTTGAAGTGTGAGGCTTTCCCAAAACCAGGTGATCACCAAGTGATAAACATTTTTAAACATCACTCTTTGGGTGCTTATTACTACTGTGAAATATGAGAACGGGGAAGACAGAAAGAGACACACAAAGCAGATTTTCCATTGATGACGGGCAGCGGTGATGGTAGCTGGGGGTTCGGTTTACTCTTCTCTTTACTTCGGGATTTGGTTCAAATTTTTTTCTTAAAAAAAAAAATGTATCATAGGGAAAAGAATGGAAAGTCACAGAAGGCATTCAGTCAAGCTCCTGCATAGTCCAAGCAGAGCAGGAGGTCCTTCTCCACCTGCCACATCCCCGATTTGGGCAAGTCTGTGCGTCACTGTAAGGAATATGGCTCCCTTCGCAAAGGCGGACTCGCTGGCTCTCTCTTTCATTCTGTAAACGCTCTATGTGTGCCACGTGCCTTTACAGCCTTCAGCGCGCGGTGCCTGAGGAACGCGCCGCGAGGTGCCATTTCTCCCGTTTCTTTACGTCTCTTACGTAGCCCGGGAACTTAGAGGAGAAGACAGCCGCATCCAATTAGAGGCAGAAATGACACTAAGGAGCCGCTAGCTCCGATATCACCGGAAGAGACCCCACGCGGTCGCGTTCAGCCCCAGCAGCGCGCGCCAGCGGGCGTATCAGCCGGGCGCACCCGCGGCGGCCACCTCTTGGCGTGGCCGGGGGCAGATGGACCTCGGCGAGCCTCGTTTCCCAGTCCTATTACGCAACAACTTTGCATCCGTCATCCTCGCCCTAATTGTGCAGGGGGCGGTGTTTGTGTGTTGCGCTTTCTCTCCCCGCTCCCGGCCGTCGCGCTCCCCGGAGAGACGCGCGGGGGCATTGTAATCGCTGCCTACGCAGCACCGCGGGGCTCCAACCGGCAGCCAGTCCTCCTCCCCACCGCTGCCCGCCCCGAGTGCTGGCAGCTCGCCAGCGTCCCCCTCCCATTTCCCCCCCTCTTCGCCCACCCCAAGGAGGAGGGGTCCTCCCGCGAGGGTGCGGGGAGGGGCAGGCGGAGGTCCGTGCCACGCCCGGGTCGCCGCGGCCCTCGGCCGGGTACTCGGTCGGCAACAGGTAGCCCTGCCGCTGCGTGCTCGGGGAGACAATAAGCGCCTGTGAGTGAGCGCGGATCTCCGGGCTCCCGGAGGCACCGCGGCGACCGGAGGGCGAAGGCAGCGGTGGGAGAGCTGGACGGCAAGGGTGGAGGGGCGGGGGTTTCGGGCCCCTCCCCAGCTCGCCCCGGTTGCGGCGGCGGCGCTGGCCGTTGCGCAACCCTAGAGCCGGGCGCGGGGCGCGGGGCTCAGATCCTCGCGGCGCTCGGGCGGCGGCGCTGGCCGCGGCCGGGGAGGGACGCGGGCGGCGGGCGGCACAGCGGGGAGGGGGGGCAG